GGGAGAAGCAGACTCCCTGCAAAGCAAGGAGCCCGATATGGAACTCGATCCCAGGACCCTGGGATCATGACCTGAGCCAAAGGCAGACGCTTAACCAACTGAGCCACCCAGGCGCCCTAGGAGCACAGTTAAACACCTAGAACTAAAATGTTTCATGTCTTTGATGGGCCTGCTCAGAAAGGCAGCATAGCTGAGCCACCAAGAACTATCTCAGGCCAAGAATCTGGAAAAGAACACATGACTGGCGTTATCTACCCTGTCATCTTTAGTCAGTAGCAGACTGCTTGTTGCATAAAAGTTGGGAGTTTTGACATTCATTTACAGACTTCTCCCAAATATTTTCACTCAGGGAAGAATGTGAATTTAAAATATCTCTTATAGGGGCACCTGGGCAGCTCAGTTGGTTAAGTGTCTGCCTTCGGCTCAGGTCATGATCTCAGGGTCCCGGGATCGAGTCCCGCATTGGGCTCTCTGCTCAGCGGGGAGCCTGCTTCTCCCTCTCCCTCTGCCTGCTGCTCCCCCTGCTTGTGCTCTCTCTTTCCCTGTCAAATAAATAAAATCTTAAAAAATAAAATAAAGTTATCTCTTATAGGGGCACCTGGGTGGCTCAGTCGGTTAAGCGTCTGACTTCAGCTCTGGTCATGATCTCAAGAGTCCTGGGATGGAGTCCTTAACCTTAACCCTGTGGGCTCCCCACTCAATGGGGAGTCTGCTTGTCTGTCTCCCTCTACCCCTCTCCCCGCTCATGCTCTATCTCTCTCTAATAAAATCTTAAAAAAAAAGTTGTTGGGGCACCTGGGTGGCTCAGTCGGGTGTCTGCATTCGGGTCAGGTCGTGATCCCAGGGTCCTGGGATCGAGCCCCATACCAGGCTCCCTGCTTTGCAGGAAGCCTGCTTCTCCCTCTCCCACTCCCCCTGCTTGTGTTCCCTCTCTCACTGTGTCTCTGCCAAATAAATAAAATCTTTAAAAAAAAAATTTGTTAAAGTATCTCTTATAAAGTTCCAAAAGGCACAGCCATACATAAAACAGACTGGTATGAAAAAATATTAAATCAAAAAGCTTTTTCCCCTTTTAAAAAACATATCCTTACTAATTTTTTATCCAGTTTATTCTAGGTTTGGGAGATGTTTGTTAAAGTCTTCTTTATAAATGTTTATTTGCCCTTTCGTATCCTGTAGTTCTGTTTTATGAAAGTTGCCGCTCTACTACAAGAAGCCCTCAGCTTGCACAGTTCCTATACGCAACATCTTCAGGTAACGTTTTAATTAAACATTAGTCCCTCAACAACACAGTTCAAATTTCAATTATAATGGTTTATTAACTGTGAGTAAATGTATAAAGTGCAAACTTTGCAGCTAGCTCTTCAGTCCACAAATCAGTACATAACAGATAAAGGACATGATCAGTGAGCAACTGTCACTTCTTTCAGTCTGTTGGTGATTGGACATTGCACACCTGTTTTTCAGTCCAGAGACAGAGAGTAAAGCGTGTGCTTGTGCTGTCTTGTCTCCCAATGATAAACCCATGTGACATTTTAGAAAAACAGATATTCAAAAGACAGAATTGGCCAACAAAGATAAAAGCGCAGCACAGAAACTAATGTGATAATGCTGGAAGTGAAATTTGGGTCACAGTATAAATGAAGTTATAGAAGAAATGGTAAACTGTCAATTAACGTCACTGCTGTTTGACTCTAGATATGCAGTCAGAACTTAATGAGGGAAAACATCAATATAAATAAGTAGTTATGACGAATGTCCCAGAAGAAATGACATAGCAAAAAACTTCACATTAAAGGAACTCTTGGAGGCACTTTACAACATTGAAAACTCAAATGATAAAATGTCAGAAGCTGATCCAAACTTAGAAATATGACAATTTGCCAAGGTATAGAAGAAATATTCAATCCACATAAGATGTACAAAGGGAAGGCAAGCACCCTTGACTTTTTTTCTTGATAAGTTTTTTTTAAGATCTTATTTTTATAATTAGAAAGAGACCTCCTGTGCACAAGCCACATGAGCCAGGGGAAGGGGCAGAGGGAGAGGGAGAAGCAGACCCCCGCTGAGCAGGAAGCTTAACAAAGGGGTCAATCCCAGGACCCAGAGATCATGACCAGAGCTGAAGGCAGGTGCTTAGCTGACTGAGCCACCCAAGCACCCCTCTTGACAAGTTTTTAAAAACAGAAATAAGGGACACCTGAGTGGCTGAGTCGGTTAAGCATCTGCCTTTGGCTCTGGTCATGATCCCAGCGTCCTGGGATGGAGTCCCACCCACATCAGCTCCTTGCTCAGTGGGGAGTCTGCTTCTCCCTCTGCCTGCCGCTCCCCCTGTTTGTGATCTCTCTGATAAATAAATTTAAAAAAATTTTTTTAATTTTATTTATTTATTTGACACAGAGAGAGAGAGTGCGAGACAGGGAACACAAGCAGGGGGAGTGAGAGAGGGAGAAGCAGGCTTCCCGCTGAGCAGGGAGCCCAATGCGGGGCTCGACCCCAAGACCCTGGGATCACGACCTGAGCTGAAGGCAGATGCTTAACGACTGAGCCACCCAGGCGCCCCATAAATAAAAAAAAAAAATCTTAAAAAAAAAACAGAAATAAAATACTAATTCTCAAGGTACAGTTTGTTTCAACCAAAATTTTTAAAGACCATGAAACAACTGTAATCTTTCCCATTAATTATTAAGCTTGCTTTGTACAGTTTCATCTTGCATGGCCACATTTGCAGCAACTCACTACCATACAGTGAGTTCTGCCTGTATTTGGTTCCGATTTCTCTACATCTTTACCAGCACATTATTGTCTTTTTGATAATAGCCATTCTAGTGGGTGTGAAGTGGTATCTCTTCGGCTTTGATTTGCATTTCCCTAATAACTAATGATGTTGAGCATCTTCTTATGTACTTACTGGCAACTTGTACACCTTCTTTGGAGAAGTATTTATTCAAATCTTTTGCGCATTTTATTCTATTTTTTTTTAAGATTTTATTTATTTATTTGACAGAGAGAGAGAGAGAGAGAGACAGCAAGAGAGGGAACACAAGCACGGGGAGTGGCAGAGGGAGAAGCAGGCTTCCCTCTGAGCCGGGAGCCCGATGTGGGGCTCGATTCCAGGACCCTGGGATCATGACCTGAGCCGAAGGCAGACGCTTACCCAACTGAGCTACCCAGGCGCCCCACTTTTGCTCATTTTAAATTGGGTTCATCTCTTTATTTTTCACCTGAATCTATTTGCTAGCTCATCAGATTTTTTTTTTTTTTTAAATAGGTGAGTTAAGCCTAAATCAAAAAGGTGACTACACAGTCAACAGCAACAGGCTGGACTATGTGGAAATTTTAGTGAATGTTTTGGGTGGAATAGGGGAAAAAGGAACCAAAGCATAGCTTAACTCCAAAATAACTGAGCAACATAAAGAACCCAAAGCGGAACTCAGTGGATATAGACCATCTAAAGTGAGAGCAGGGGTGGAACAGAGTGGTAAGGGTGAAAAAAAGGACTTAAGGGTAAGTAATATACAGCCAGTCACAGTGTAAATCAAAAGATCCTATTCAAGATCAAAAGAGAGCTGATGTCATTTTATGGTCATTCTTGTACTGAACTCTCCAACAGAAGCAACTTGAGAGCAGGGACAGCAGCTTAATAATTTTTGTAACCTCTCAGCAGTAAGATGAGGAATGTATGTTGGTGTATTCATCACTCCTCTGTACATTCTTAGATTTGTTAAACATATGTTCAAAGAAAAGCCTCTGTAAGGATCGGGACTGGTAGCTCACTTTCAAAGGAGTTAAGCTGTCAAAGGAGTCAAGCTGTCTACTGACACAACATGAGGGAAAAGGCGAAACTGATTATGGGAAGAGACAAAACCCTGATTCCTGAAGTCTTGCACCCCAGGCTAGTATATATAATGACTGGGGGCAAGGGATAGTGACGGCAGTCTCTTACATTGGCCTTGAGCTTTAAAGTGCAATTTCACAGCTATCATTCATTCAACAGGCACTTCCGGAGCACACACGACATACTGTGCTGAGCGCTAGACACAGATGAACAGCAAAAGCAAGTCCCTGTTCTGTCAGGGTTCATAATCCAGTAGGTTCGGTGTTGCAAGGATAGAGGTAATCAGCCTAGCTGTGGGAATAAGGAAGAGAAAGCAATGCATTCTGCCTGGGTCTGCGGGAGGAGGGAAAGCACCAAAGGGTGACATCCGGGCTGGGCCTTGAAAGATGCGGGAGCGACCCACAAGGGCCAATTCTGAAGTGTCACTGCTTTGTCCACAGGGAAGAGAAAGTCTCGTATCAGCCCCAGCTGACTCCTATAAAAACTCTGGAGGCAGATGTTCTCATCAGTAATCATCTCCATTTCACAGAAGGAGAAACTGACCCACAAGGCAAAAGGCGAAGCCCAGGGCCAGGCTGAGTGACAGGGGACATGCCAGGTCCAGAATCGAGGTGGACAGACACGGCACAGTTTCGAGCTCTGCCCGGACTCTGAAACCTGTAGAGCACCGGAATGTGGCAGGGGTCCGGACCCGGAAGTTGGAAAGAAGTCTAACATGAGAGCGACCCCTCCAACCATTTGCCCAGTTCTCTCAGTTACGCCCTCTGTCCCACGCTTCTCAGTCACTCACCCGCCGCTAGGCGAAAGGAAGTCGGTGTCGTCTTCGTCTCCCGCACCGAACATCGCGGTGCCTTTCGCCCAGCCGCAGGGGAAAAACAAGAGTGTTTTCGGGCCTTTCACCGCCGAGGTCGTGAAATGCCGCGGCGGCGTGCTGCTTTCCGGCAGGACGAACTCTCGCAAGGTGGCTCGGCTGGGAGGGGTCTAGACTCCGGAGAAGGTGGGGGGAAAGGCAAATGGCAGGACCTGGCGGGCACGCGCGCCCGTGACGTAAGGCTTCTCCAGCCTGCAGAGGCAGTGAAATCCGAGGGAGCTCCGAAATCCTGCGCAAGGATTGGCCGACGAGCCGAGGGGCGGGGCAGGGGCGGGGCAGGGGCGGGAATCCGCGGCCTCGGTGGCGGTCGTGGACACGTCGAGCCCGGCAGAAGTGGAGGGGGCTTCCGAAGAGTCGTGGGGTGGTGACGGGTTAAGGTTCTAAGAGGGAGGTGCCGGTAGCGAGACTCGATCTGGAAGGTAAGCACCCACCGCCCCTCCCACACCCCTGGCATGGGCACAGTCCTTTCTCCCCCGGGACAAGGACCCTCCACGCCACTCTTCTCCGCTCTGCGAAAGGAGAAAGGGCCCCGGACTGGCAGTCTGGAGAACTGAGCTTTCGGCCGGGCCCCTACAGTGACATAGCTAGAGTGACCTTGGGGCTGGGTGTTCGATGCCTCACTTTCCCCGTCTTTAAAACGGGCCTGTCGTCCCTCTCGCTTGTCCCCTGTGGCCGACCTCGCTATTTATTCAACGGGCTCTTTGTCCAGTGTTTCTCTGTGCCGGCTGGTCAAGAAGCTTTTAGACCTCAGAGGTCATCCAATTCAATCCCAGTCTCCTCATAATCCCAGAATTTGCAATAGGGAAACGAAGTAATATAGCACTTGGATGACTAGTCCGAAGTCACACAGAGTAAAGGGCAGACTGGAGCTGGATCCCTAGTCTCTTGATTCAGGACTTAGGAAGCTGATAGGTGAACAAGAACCTTATCAACTCTTAAACACTGTGCGTCCTTCCATAGTGGTTATTGCTAGACTGTGGCATAAATCTGGAGAGAATTCCCCTCCCTATGCAGGTGAGGTGCAGAAGAGCTGGGATATTCTGGGGGTGAGTGATGGGAAAGAGAAAACTTTAGAAGGGAAAATCCCCAGTCCCAATCTTGGTCTGGGTTTTGCATAGTCTTCTTGCCACAGACCTAAGTCAACATCAGTTGTTGGGGACTTCTCTGTCTCCAGTTTCCACCTTCTCTGTATCTTATATAAGTATTTCTTTGGTTAACCTGATATAATTCTTGAAACAATCTCTGGGTAAGCTTGGTTTAGCCAAGGTGTGGATAAGCAAATAATGTTTCACTGTAGCATCCGTTTCCATAGATCTCAACTGGAGTTGTTTCACTCGGGGCTTCTCTTGATCAGGTTAGTACAACATGTGTCCCTTACCTGGATGTTTTAGTCTGTTAACACGAAATTGAAGTGAAGTGGTTGGTAGTAATTCACCTCCTAAAGAACTTGGTACTTCCCTTGTTCTGCTTGTTATTATAGTTTGTGTGCTTGTACTAAATTGTAAGCTCCTCAAGGACAGGGACAGTTTTATTCATCTTGATGTCACCTGTGTCACAGAGCACTATGCCTTCTTGACCATAATGGATTTTTATTCTTTGTTAGACTGAGTAATGGAATTCATCCTTATTCCCATTACTTAATTTATGCTCTTGGGATTTTTTTCACGTGTGACTCAGAGAGCCTTGCAGTGGCTCTTGCCTTCCAGAAAGATAAAAATGCTGTAGTAGCTGTGAAATATCAGGGTTGCTTCGTCTCTTTTGTTAGTTGAAGATGATTTTACTATTGTTTAAAGCTCTAGGGGAGGGCGCCTGGGTGGCTCAGTCGTTAAGCGTCTGCCTTCAGCTCTGGGTCATGTGGAGTCCAGCAGGAAGCCCGCTTCTCCCTCTCCCACTCCCCCTGCTTGTGTTCCTGCTCTCACTCTCTCTGTCTCTGTCAAATAAATAAATAAAATCTTTAAAAATAAATAAATAAAGCTCTAGGGGAAGCGGAAGAGGGGAATAGAATAGCTGGAAATAGTACATGTAACTCTGATTTTTGTTAGTAAAGTATTTCTCTGTTAAACTGAGAGACAGGGTGGTTGTCTGCTTCCTGTGTCCATTTTACAGATTAAGATGGTTAAAGCAGTGAAGGCTGACAGTGTGAAAACAGTCATGCAACTGGAATCTAAGCACTAGAACTGGAATCCTTTGCGGTAGAATATGAATATGAACTTAGAATGTGAACTTGGCTATCTCTCAGGGAGAGAGAGAATGAACTGCCTAAGTGACATCACTTTTTCTAACCCCTTTCCCCAATACTGGTCATCGTCATTCCAGCACTGAAACATCTGAATAGTACCTTTTTAAAAATGCTAAAAGATCATTTGAGTGCTTATCCTGAATTCTTGAGTTGGGGATGTTTTCATCTAGTGTATTTAAGTAGCCTTTTTAGATAGGCAGGCACGTAAAATCTGGATCAGCATTTTTGGCAATTGGGACACCACAAATATGCATGCCCAGGTCACCACTGTGGGAACACAGCTGCTAGTTCTGATCGGCAGTATGAGAAAGGGAAAGACAGTGGTGAGGCTTCCTCAGTCGTGCAGGATTTGAACTGCAGGATTAGGTACATCTAAAAAACCACTGTCTGGGGCACCTGGGTGGCTCAGTCGTTAAGTGTCTGCATTCCGCTCAGGTCATGATCACAGGCTCCTGGGATCGATCGGGCTCCCTGCTCAGTGGGAAGCCGGCTTCTCCTTCTCCTACTCCCTCCCCCTGCTTGTGTTCCCTCTCTCGCTGTGTCTCTTCTCTATCAAATAAATAAACAAAATCTTAAAAAAAAAAAAAAAAGATAAAAAGCCACTGTCGGGGTGCCTGGGTGGCTCAGTTGGTTAAGCATCTGACTCTTGATTTCAGCACAGGTCATGATCTCAGGCTCCATGCTGAGGGGGAAGTCTGCTTGAGATTCCCTCCCTCCGCCTCTGCCTCTGCCCCTCCCTCCACTCGTGCTCTCTCTCTCTCTCTTTCTGTCTAAAAAGTAAATAAATAAATACATACATAAATAAATTTTTAAAAATGGAAAAAAATTTTTAAACAAATAAGTAAAAAGGCACTGTCTTCCTGAATTAGAATATTGGACCAGGAATCAGGAAATCTGAATTACCATCCCAGCCCTTGTAACTCGCTCTGAGCTTAGGCCAGGCTTCCTAAACACTTTGTGAAAGGAGTGGTTTAGACCCAGGTATCTATTAAGTACTGCTGGGAATAACAGAGATAAGGAAAGCACAGTCCTGATCTCAAGTTTGAGTTAAGCATTTTTGTTTGTTTTGCTTAAATACACAGTTTTTAAATGTATTTATAAATTATTTTATATTTAAATAAATATAAAGATTACCCAAGATTAACCAGTAAGTGGCAATTTTAACAATTCCTTTCAAATTATCAGCAATTTTGGGGGCACTGGGTGGCTCAGTCGGTTAATCATCTGCCTTCAGCTAAGGTCATGATCTCAGGGTCCTGGGATCGGGCCCCCATCAGGCCTCTGCTCCCAGGGAGTTTGCTTCTCCCTCCCCTCTGCCTGCCACTCCCCCCGCTTGTGCATGCACGTGCTCTCTCTCTCTCTCTGTCAAATAATCTTTAAAAAGAATTATCAGCAATTTTGCTGTAGAGATGATAATTTTTATATACAGGTATACCCATACTAATCTGTACTAGTGAATGCATTGTAAATATTAAACTATAATTAAAGTTTAAAGTCATAACCAGGTGAGATGATAGGTGTGGTGATAGCAATATGAATTGAATATAGGTTTGGGGGAGCTGGTATAGTGTTCTTTCTGTTCAGTCACTGAAAACAGAAGAATGTCAGAACACAATTCACGAAATAACTGAAAACCTATGTGTAAGGCACTGCTGGGTGTTGCCTGGAATAGGAAAATGAGCAAGTCATTGTTCTTGTCCTTGAAGTGCTTATATTTGAGCAGTAGGGCTAGTTGAAGTATACGAATAATTATACTAGAAGACACAGCAAAGTCAGTCCCATAAGTAGAAATTAATTATTGTAGGTTTTCAAAGGAAGAAGAGATTATATCTAGTTTGAAAGAGTATGTGTGGTTAGATAATAGGCTTTGAGGAAGAGTGGGATTCCAGATGGAAATGAGGAGGTACGGTTCTCCAGGTTGAGGGCGTGGCTTTGGCAAAGGCACCAAGACAGGCGAGATGGCACAAATTTCTTATAAGACGAGAGTTACCCTCTTATTTGATGCAATTAGGGCCAACAGTTGGCCAACTAAAAAAATAAAGTTTTTTTTTTTTTAATTTGAGAGAGAGAGAATGAGGTAGAGAGAGCACGAGAGGGCAGAGGGTCCAAGGGAGAAGCAGACTCCCCGCTGAGCGGGGAGCCCGATGCAGGACTCGATCCCGGGACTCCAGGACCATGACCTGAGCTGAAGGCAGTCGCCCAACCAACTGAGCCACCCAGGCGCCCTAAAAAAAATAAGTTAAAACAGAGAGTCCTACAGATATTAGTTACACACAGACCTTAACCATTTGATCTTAACCTAAAGTATAAACATCTTTTTGCCATTCTTTAAAATAAGCCCTTTTCTTGGGCTGTGGACCCCAGGAATCTATAAACTACAGCATGAGGGCCAAGCCTTGTCCTAGCCTTCTGCCTGTTTCTGTAAATAGTTTTATTGGAACACAGCCATGCTCATTTGTTGACATATTATTTATGGCTACTACTCTGATGTACAAGGTAGAGTTGAGTAGTTGTATGTATCTGTGTGACTCATTTTTATCTAGTCTTTCCAAAGCTTTCAACTTGGTTTTCATGGAAACAACTACCAGACAGTCCATGATAGTATAGTAGCTAAATTCTTAAGCTCTGAGCCAAATTGTTTTGCCATTATTAGTTATACAGGTCTTGGGCACGTTGCTCAGTTTTCTCCTTTGGAAAATAGGGACAGTGATAGTACCTAGTTTCTAGGGTTCTTGTGAAGATTATAGGAGTCAGTTCATGTAAAGCACTCAGAACAGCATCTGGCAAGTAGCAAGTACTCAATATTAGCTGCTGCTGTTTTCCTCTTGTCACTTATGCTTAATTGCTTTATATAATACTTTATTAAATTATACTCTTCCATTAATAAGCACTGGCATAAGTTGATTTATGAATAAACCTACCTGACACTTGATTAAGGACACAGCTTCCCTGAGGGAGAGAAAAAAGTGTTGATCCCATAATATTAGAGACTAGCCTAGTTAGTATGTTATCATTTAAGTCAGGTAAGAGAATTCTGTGGGATCGTTTGCTCAGAGTATAAGACAACAGAACACATAGGGAAGTAGTGGATTAAAATTGAAAAGGAGACCAGAGCCTTATTTGTCTAACACCTTGAAGGCCAAGGGCATAAGTTTGTACTTAGCCATGTAGGAAATGGGA